CTTCAGTCTGCAGGCAGTGGAAGATGTGCAAGGTTTTAAGCAGGGTTATCTTTCAGTGCCTGTGTGGAGGTACTGAGGAGAACAGGCAAAAAAATGCAAGGGTTGTTTGGGAGGCTGAGGAGAACATGAATTCAGGGTCCAGCAATACAATGTTTGCAGACCCTTTGGACATAGTCTGTGCCAAGAGTATAATAAAGCTGGGCTGCACTTTGGCCTTAAATTTTTTTTCATGCTTTTCTTAGGCATGAAATGTGATAATTTTGGAGTTCCAATGTGACTAATTCTTACTGCTCTTAAAATAGCAGCTCAGTTACAGTCAGTATGCAGCAATGTATAGGAGTAAATGTTCCTGGGAAAAAAATTGCTAATTATATGAAGACAAGGGTCCATTATATTACATTGCTTTCCCATCTTTGTAATGCTTTGCCATGTTTTGCATGTCACTAATGCCAATTCTTCTCTGGCAAGCCTGCAGTTATTTGCATGACCATGCCTTGAAGGGGGTTTATGTGAGAATAACTGCTGTGGTGTAGTGCAGGAGCACAGGGAGTCCATGTAAAACCCGTGCCCTGGGATGTGAGCAGGAGATGCAGGAAACCCGTGCTCAAAATGCAGTGCCCCTTCTCTCTTCATGTTGCCCTCTGTTCCTGTAGCTGCATTTGATTTCTGCCAGGCTTTTCCTGACCCCATACAGCAGCACAGTCCCAAATGAATAAGGATCTGTGTTGACAGCTGCTTCATAACCTTCAGGCCTGTTTCAGGGATTTTCTCCCCTTGTGCACAGGATGTAGGATGCAGCACCCCAGTATTTCTTCTGGTGGTTGCTTTCCTGAGCAGGCTCAGGTAATCTGTTTTTTTTTTTCTTTCCTTTGCAAATTAATTGCTGAAAGAACAGTTTTTTTGTTCACTGTTGAGTAGTGGCTACTGAAGGATTGAAAAGGAAATGTCTCCTGTTGTGTTCTGCCATTCATGAGAGCTGTGTCTAGCTCTCTTCTTGAATATGACTTAAAAATAGCATTGAAATTGTGTTTCAAGGTGTGTTCTTTGTGTTCCAGTCATCATGACAGCATATATTAATTATTTGCTCTGGTTTTCTTTGCCACACACTGGCTGGGGTTTGTTCTCTGCGCTTTTGTTATTGCGGGAAGGTTGAAGTTTCACCATCATGGCGCTTCCACAAATTACTTTTGAGAATTTGCACACCATCTGTGTGCAATAATAAAGCTTTTAGCAGCTCCAGATTGCCATGCTGGTGGTGGGGAGTGTGGATGAAAGCCAGCCCAGTGAATTAAGGTCATGTCCCTACTGGGGACAGAAAGCAAGCTCTAGGTGAAGCGATCTAGACAATCCCTGCAAGAGGCATCTGGTCCTGGTAGCACTTTGGCAATCACAGCTAGGGCTGTTAATCTTCAGCCTTCCAGCCACTGAAAGGTAGCAGAAGACACAAAGGGACTCACTCCAGGTGTTCACAGACACCTGCAGGAGCAATATCCCATGTTCTGGACAGGCATAGGTGGATGGAAAGTGTTGTTGAGTAGAAAACACATAAAGCGAGCCAGACAGGCTAAAAAAGAGAAATACACATGATGCAAAGTGAAGGAGACAACAGCTACAACAGACAAATTTTAGAAAGGATTAATACAACTGCTAAATCTGTCAGTAGAGAAGTTCTTCATAATATCAACATTAAAAGCCTGACATTTACAATATGGAGGAGAAAATAAAAAGCTTTTGGATATAGGTCTGTGTGGGAGGAAGTAATGTTGAAAGGAAAAAGCCATGAACTGTTGTGCCAGATAAATACACTATATTAAGAAAATTACAACGTGAGAGGGACATCTTGTGGCACAAATAAAATAAAAAGTAATAGTCCAGTGTCAGGAGGAGTATCCTGCAATGTTACTCCAGGGTCACCATTTCTGGGAGAAATCCCAGGCCTGGTAGGAGATTAATTTGTTCCAGTCTTTCTTATAGCAGAACTCCTGCTACCCACTTCCTCATCTTCCCACCTTTTTGTCTCCATGAGACGAGGATTATAGAACACAGACGTTCTACCAAATATACTTGTCTGTCTTGCTGCAAATGATGCTGGTTTTTAATGAAGAAATAGATTAAAATGTCACTACCGTTGTTTGACTGAATGTGTTGTCAGCAGCAGCATAAAATGTGACAGAACCTTAGCTGTGGGTGGCTAACGCTTATTTTCTACTTATATCACAATCATATTTCCATATGTTCCTATAAATTAAAAAGAATGCATGGAATTTTCAGGAGAACAGAGGGCCATGACTGTGTACAATCAGCTGAAATGGAACCTACCATGCCTCTGTGCATCACACTGCACGATGACGTAGCCTTGTCACTGTGCCTGAACCTTGAGATTCCTTCTTTGATTAATTTTGATCACATGGTGATAAAAGTTTAATTATCTTTTACAAGCAGCAGTTTTCCCAGGAGTTGTCATTGTAACTTTGAATAATTTCTGGAGTACTGTTCATTGCCTTAGACCAGGTGGGAGAAGTGTGTACATACACCACGAGAGTATTTTGAGTCTCAGTGACCTCAGCCACACATGTGGGTGTGTTTAGGAGAGGCTCTGGTGCAGCCAGAGAGCTGGGGAGCAGGCCCTGTACCCCAGATAAGCTCCAGCTGCAGTTTACCTGCACCACTCCTGCTGGTTTACAACACCCAAAGCAGCAACAGCTCCCTGCAGGGGCAGCAGGACGGGAGCTGTTGCTGCTTTGGGTGTTGTAAACCAGCAGGAGTGAGCTGGCAGGAGCACTGAGTGGAGTCGTTGCTCTCAGCTTTGGAGAAACAATAGAATGTCAGTGAAAGGAAAAAAACAGACGTGGCTCTTCTGCAGAAAGACCTCAGCTCTAAGGGCGTTGAGCTTTTCATAAAAACCTGAACACTGGGGAGTTTTTGATTTCATGGTGCATTTTCTGTTTAGAAATTTCATCAACCAGATGTGGTTTTGGTTGGGCTCAGTATTTCTATTGCTACTTTGTTTTTATGTATCTGACATAGGAAGTTCAGTGTATCAATGTACGTTTTCTTGGGGCTCTTTAGAATGTGTCTATTAGTGCCCAAGGATCCAGAAGTCCTATTTGAATCAATTGGTATGTAAATCATTCTCTGCTTTGGAAAGATAGGAGATCATTTCTCCAGCAGTAATTCAATCATAGCTTGTTTTTTGTAAATCCACAATACCCTGGCCTAAATTTAATTCAAAGTTTATGTTTCCTAGCTACAGTTCTAGTACTTCAGTTGCCATGAGTAGAAACATAATAAATTTAAAAAAATAAAAGGTGGACAATAGTAAAGAGATCTTTTTTGGGTTAAAGATAGGGCAGAACCCCCAAATTTTTGTTTTCAGACATTTGCATGAGACTAACTAAAAATCTGCCAAGTCATGCTGTTGCCCAGCGCAGATCTTTGGCCAACACAAGTGTGTCATAAAATGCTTTTTGTACTTACTGGTCAGCTGAAAACCCGAGAGTTGTGGCTCAGTTGCTTTGACATCTATTCCTTTGGCCGCAATTAATTTCCTGTTAGGTATTCCGCAGAATGACCAATGTTTAGCTTAGGTTAACCAAACCCTTGGGTTTGTTGGTATTGGTTGAATTCAGAGTGTGGACTTAAGCTTGTAAGGATGCCAGTTGCACACTTTGATGTCTGACTAAATGATTTTGATTGTCGAAGGACTTCACTCCAGTTTTTTACTGGTTTGATCCGTTCACATACAAATTCCTGTGGCAAGGGCTTGCCCTAAGCGGTGGCAGTGAGCAGTCTGGTGTCACGGTCAGAGAATGAGCTCCCACATACCTGGGAACGTGTTTTCCAGCCTGTCAGTTGAAGCTCTTGACAAACAATAAACAAGAGCTATACCTTGTTGTGCCTCTCTGCCTTCAAAGAGGTTTTTCTGGTTAAATAGTGAGATGGTATTAACTTAGGGTGTGAATACAAGTTTAAGTGCTGTGCTGTGAATCTCTCTCGTGTTTGCTGGCTGGAATGTCGCTGGGTTTTCTGCTTTGGTGTCCGATGTCAGGGACAGCGGTGCCTTTGCGTTCTGTGTGTATGGAGGGAGGTGCCTGCCTACCTGGAGCAGCAGCTGGATGAATGGTGGGACATGGTTCTCAGCTTTGCCCTTGGGTTCAGGTGTCTCCTGTGAGAGGCACACGGTACACCTGGGAGAGGCGCGTTTATTCCAGAGCAGGTATTTCGCCAAAAGGGCTGGGATGGAAAAGCCTTTAAGTGACGACGAAGCGCGTGAATGCAGGGCGGTGATGGA